GCCCAGCGTTTGACGCTTCAGCCTCGTTTTCTTGTTGCGACAAGTTTTGGACTGCAAGGCTGGGGCCATGTACTAGTGGTTTAAACCAGTCATTGAGTTTCGGATGATAATTCCTCTGACCATCTCAAGCGTTGGGCAAGAAAGAGTCTGGGCAGCAGTAGCAGCTCTGGCTCCGCCCATGTGTAGTGGACGGCTCCACTGAGCTGGCCAGATAGAGTCGCCAGCACTGCGCTATCTTCACGAAGAAGTAGACCTGCAGGCTGCAGGTGGTTGACAGAGACATCAAGATTCAAGAGCATTGATGTGCTGCCGGAGGATGGACCCACTGTGGGAGAGGTAGGACAGGACAGAATATATTATAGCGATTGGCCAGGGAGGGGTCATTTGCCAGGTAACCAAGCTGCTGACCCATCTTCCGACCAACTTGAAGCAGGACATGTACGCTTTCGAGGTCGAGGTGGCTCTTTTGGAACTGGTAAATGCGTAGAAAACATTCCGCAGGTCACCGGGTGATGACAGGGAGGTGAGGGAGGAGGTGGGGGTGAAAAAGAAGAGGCCCGGAAGGAGATGGGATCACTAAGTCTTGTCTCCTGGGTGGGCAAAGAGCATGGAGATTCCTTGGGCCCCGCCATGATCCCAGACATCACAGCAAAATCAGTCATGCCAGAGCCCACAACAACGACAGACGCTCAGTCTGGCAAGGCGAAAAGGTTTACGGAACGCATAAGCAGATGGCAGACGAGGAGGGAGGGTCCTCATGAGAGACAGCAGTGTGAGCTAGCGTGCTGTTCGCGGAATGTTGGAGATTGCCATGGTCTGCCATATCTCCCACAAATTCTGTAGCAGGGACCGCGGATGCGGACGAGTGTCATTATGAAAAGAGTAATTCTACAGGACGACAACAAATACTATCTACATTAATCAGGAACCTGCAGGAAGAATGTATGCCATCGATCCGCAAAAGCTGATGAGCTGTGGTGATGTGTGATAAGGTCGGCATGGCTTAATAACCTCTTCTCTTCCTTTCATGATGCGGGCTGGCTTTCAAGTTATAATCATGTACTAACTCTACATGTTGCAGAACATATCATAGTGGGGGTAGTGCGTGGACACACTTGCATACACGCTTGCATGCAATTATAAGCCGGCGTTTACCAGGTTGACCTTATGCTACCTGCAGATCTTTGACAATCCGGCCGGGCAAGAGATCCGGGCCCACTCTGGTGGTAGCCTAGGTGCTCGGCACACTTCATCACAGCCACCTGTGCACCATCATCGGATACTGTGCGGAGGGAGGGAAGTCTTTTATCGTGTACTCCCCATTTGCAGAGCGAGGGCCGCGCCGCCCGGTTGCAATGCTCACGGATCACCTCCACAGCGGATGCCCCTAAGCACCGACTCAGCAACAAAGCGGAGGACGGGAGCCACACTGAGCAATCTCGCAGGGAATGGCATTGAGCTGAGCAGTGGCAGAACTCCGCCTCCAGCGGCATGACATGGCCGGCAATGCCGAGCTGGCAGGAGAGAGTCTCCGTTGCCCAGCAGATCGGCAGAGCACTGAGAAGTAGACTGTAGACCCACGGGTCATCCACAGAGACAGAGACATCAGGAGCAAAAATGCACTGCTGGACGATCAATCCAGATGTGAAGGGGGAGAGGGGAGGGAAAGAAGTACGTCAGCACTGAGCCGGCAGTTAGGGCTTTTCTGTCAGACTTCGGACTGGCAAGGCTGGGACAGAGCACTTTTGGTCGGTTGTGGTCAGGCTCCACCATGGACACATCACATGGCAGGAACATTCGGGTACATACCACCCAAGTACTACACCTCATGCCCACTTACGACCAAGAAAGATGTGTACGCTTTCGGGGGTAGTCCTCTTGGAGCTGCTCATAATGGGTAGACAACCCTTTGGCCGGTCATCATCAACGGCTGATGGCAAGGGGAGGGAGGTAATGAGAGGAGGGAGGTAATGAGAGGAGGGAGGATAAGCACGAGCCACCAGGGAAACGTTTAAGGAACATATTCACCAGATTGCAGAGCTCCATGAGAAGGGCAGCAATGTGGACTGGTGTGCTGTTTGCAGCATCATGATGGTGGACGTTGCCATGGCCTGCATCTCCAAGAGTCCAGAGCTGCGACCGCGGGTGAGGTGCGACCCCGGGTGACTAACCCAGCCGGAGAATCGACTGTCACAGTGATTCCTGAACAGGAATTTTGTCAAAACGGACATTTTTTATTGCTTGAACGAAATTGAAACTGACTAATTTGGCCCACATAGGCCTTAGCCAGGCCAAAATGTTGATGAAATCAAGAAATCTATGTGTTTCTTGATCTCGGCACCGTTCCTTTGTCCTGTCATCTTCGAGCCTGCGCTTAGCAGATGATTATGCTGCCCACGCTAAACCCACATAACCCCGATTCTCCCTCTCCCCCCCCCCCCAAACAGTTTCGGAAAAGTGGGGGGGGGAGGAGGGGAGGAGGGGGGAGGAGGCTCCAGGATGCCATGCCACTCGAATGCATCTCTAATGATTGGGGATGTCCTTCACGGACTGTAGAGAAGGTACTCAAGACATGTGATCTATCATAATTGTGGAGATGAGGAGAAGTTTGCGATTTCTATTTTCATGCACGCTCTGCTGAGAAGTATCTGAACGCTTATGAGACAAATTGAATATCGCATTTGGCTGCACTCTTCATATTAGTAGAAGCCTTGGGCGCCACGTGCGTTGCTTTCAAGGTATGGTATGGATGGCTCACGGATTTCTGCGATTCGCATTGAGAGCAGGCTTGTGAGACATAGATAGACTAGCTTCTCTCCTGAGGGGGGACAGGAGCAAAGAAGGGGGATGGGACATTGATTTGAGGGGGGACAGGAGCAAAGAAGGGGGATGGGACATTGATTTTCCTCGTAGCCTCTAGAAAATCGGAATTAATTGGGAGGGAGATTATTACCGTCTAAAAAAGCCTCTTGTTTTTTTTCGTTCCTGTTTTTTTTCGTTCCTGTTTTTTTTTTTTTTTTTTTTTTTGAGTCTATCACAAGTTGAAAGTTGATTTGAAGTAGTGGAGTCTGTGTTTTCCTGTGGAAGTTTTTGTTTAGGTTTGTGAGGTTTTTGCAGGATTGAGGCTTACCTTTTGTTTCCAGGGTCGGCGGATATCAGGACAGCGGTCTGGTTTTGGCCATTTCTGTCACTGGATTTCCACCCGACGCCTACAGATTACCGCTTCTGATACTTTTCCGGGTTGTTTGTAGAGGATTACCGGCCTCTCTTTTGGTGTGCGTTATCAAATGAGCTGAAAAAAAAAAAAAAAAAAAAAAAAAGTTGATTTGATTGTTTGGGGAAAAAAAAAATAAAAAAAAAAATGGTTGCGATATTCCTTTCTCTCTTTTCTGCAACTACTTTTTCCCCCCAACACTACGACACCATAGGGCCACAACGATGTCAAATTTATTTTTTAAACGGGCTATGGAGGGGTCAAAGGGGTGGCCTCGCCTGATCGATCCCTCAAGTGCTGCCTTCGTATTGCACTGCCGCGAAGTGTGGCGCGGCCCTCGGAAAAAAAAAAAAAAGGATATGTCCACAAGTGACCGGCCAGCAGTTTTTTGGGAAACATTATTATCATTATTATTATTATTATTATTATTATTATTATTATTATTCCTGTTCCATAGGATTACTGCTGTCCCGATCACATAGGGATTCAAAAAAGGCACAAAAAATCCACAATTAATTTTTTTGGCCTGGGGCCTCGTCTTACTCGCAGCGTGGAGATTCCTACAGCGCTGAATCTGGCCGTGTCTGTGGAGCTGTGCAGAAAAGCGCGGTCCCGATTAAGCTCGTAGATTTGGTGGTTCCCGGATGGCGTTTCCTCAAACGCACATCTCCACAAACACATCCCGACTCAGCTAGGAGTAGATTTGGTGGTTCAATCAACGTCTGTATTCTCCATCGTATAGTCTGATTGCATGGATGGCATCCGGGCTTATAGTCTGATTCCATGCCTTTGGCCACAAGTGGAGCAATCAACATCTTTCCACAAGTGGCCGGGCTGGCGACTGATAAGCCCGGATGTGTTTTTTTTTTTTGTTTTGTTTTGTTTTTTGTTTTGTTTTTGCCGTAGGCCTGCGAGGAGAATGCTTTTTTCCTGTCTATAGCTGTGGGATTGTACAGATGCTTACTTGGTAGAGGGGGGGGGGGTACTCAGACGGACGAAACATCCAAGTAGGGCGTTCTCATTTTCTTTATTCTTTTAGCAAAAACTACTGTTTTCCGCGAACAGAACAGCCCGTCATTATAGCTGCTGTATCTAGACAAGAAGCAGACTGGGTCTAGATACGGCGTCAAGGACCGTACGTTCTATTCGGGGGAAGATCGTTTAAGTCCTAAAAAAAAGACACAGATCGTGCTCCTGCGCTTAACAGCGCAGCCATTTTCTTTTAGTTCCTGTTTTTTTCTTCCCCGCGGCCAACTCCCACCAGCAGCGTCGAATTTCCTCAACGCCTGAATCTGAACGTGTTTCAGGACATGTGCAGAGGTCGGGTTACGTTTCCTCAACCGCACCATAGCCACAAACACGTCCAGTTCAGGCGTTGAGGAAACTCAACGCTGCTAGTGGGACTTTGGCCCCGTTCTTTCCCTCTTCCTTTTCCTTTCTTTTTTTTTTTTCCCTTTTTCTTCCGGGAAAACAAGCCTTGCATCTGGAAACTGTCTTCCACAAACTCCGACCCCCCATCATCATGAACGTATACCTTTTTTATTATTCACTAAAAAAAAAAAAAGGATACTGAGCATCACGTGTTATTCCCACTTGCCTGTCGTGACTGTTAGCGCTAACGACAAAGTGCTCGCGTGGCATTACATTTTTGTTTTGTGTGTATAGAGCGTTTTTTTTAAATAATAATCTGGGTAATAATTTTTCCGTTAGTCATGAAAAAAGATTTTAATCAAATGTAATGTAATATTTGAAAAAAAAAAAAAAAAAAAAACGTTTAAAAAAATGATCAATACCCGGAATGTAGCGCCCTGCCCAACAAATTTTCGAAGTCGCAAGCCAGTCTATTGTCGCACCTGTCATTGCACCTACCATACCTCTCTCTCTCTCTCTCTCTCTCTCTCTCTCTCTCTCTCTCTCTCTCTCTCTCTGTGTGTGTGTTTGTGTGTGTGTGTGTTTGTGTGTGTGTGTGTGTGTGTGTGTGTGTGTGTTTTGTGTAATCGATCCCCGAATCCCCGAATATCTATAAGTGATCTCCAAACCCATTCTTATATGCATTTAAAACGAGTTCAGAAAAGATTCGCCAAATCTCCCTCCCTCTCTCGCCAAATCTCCCTCCCTCTCTCTCTCTCTCTCTCTCTCTCTCTCTCTCTCTCTCTCTCTCTCTCTCTCTCTCTCTCTCTCTCTCGCTCTTTCTCGCTCTCTCCTCGCGCACGTGCGTGCCTGCGTGCGTGAGCGTGTGTGTTCGCTTGTGGTTTCCGCTTCTTTTCTTTTTTTCTTTCCTCTTATCATTTTTGTGGAAGCTCTCTTTTCTCGTTATTGCAGGTGTACTAGATTCGCGCTCTCCGTATGAATTAGTATATATACGTTACTTCAGCCTCAATTCGAGTTTCCTTGAGAACGGAGAACACTCTTGCCACGTGGCCTGTTGGACAATGAGCGCCAGGTGTGCGGCACTCTTGGCAGCGTCGATCTCAGGACATCCACCTTGACGCAGACGGTCTGGATCCCGACACACTCGCAGCCTTGAACCGATTCTAATGCCACTTTTCCTGCGCGACTTTGGGCCTCGCTGCACTACTCTCGAAATTTGCAAAACGAGAGTGAATCTTCCACTAGAATATGGAAAGATACACGGCCATGATTTTTGTCTTTTGTGCAGCGAGGCCCTTTGACTGTTTAGACCCGCGCCCGTCTCAGACTTCATCCCAGCGTGCCACGTGTCGCGAGCTGAGGAGGTGAGCGTGTAGTCATCGCCTCGGTCTCCCGTTGTCACACACGTGCGACGAGGTCTGCTTCCTCTCTGCGCGCCACGTGTGATGCTGCGAGCATCACTCTAAGTGGCATAGCACCGCAAAGATGGACGTGCCACGTGTCAGCTCCTGTGCGAGCGCCATTTGTTACCTGACCAATCAACGAAACACCGTCTTCGGCTCCGTCCTCACGGCTACAGCTGCGTCTGCCTCACGTCTGCACGCCACGTGTCACCAGGCGGAAGAAGTCATCCGTCTGCTCCCCGCAACATTCTCTGCGTGCCACGTGTCACCGCGCCAATCAAAGAGACACCGTCTTCGTGGCAACAGCGGTGGCAGCTTCATCTGCCCGTGCCACAAGTCACCCGTCGGGAGCAGTACCACGTGCCACGTGTCACGTAGGAGGAGCAATCCCGCGTGTCACCTGGCGTGCTCAGCACGACGTGTCTGGCGGAGCAGTGTTCCCGTGTCATCTGGCGGGATCAGTGCCACGTGTCGCCCAGCGGGAGCAGCGCCACGTGTCAGGTGTCACCAGGCGGGAACTGTGCCACGTGTCACGTGTCACCAGGCGGTAGTAGCCTCTTGCCACGCGTCACCTGCCGGAAGCAGTACCACGTGGCGAATCCTGTGCGTGCCACGTGTCACCCGTGGCGGAAGCAGTACCACCTGTCACCTCCAGCCTGGCGAATCCTGTGCGTGCCACTTGTCAACCGTGGCGGAAGCAGTACCACGTGTCACCTCCACCCTGGCGAATCTTGTGCGTGCCACGTGTCACCCGGCAGAAGAGCAAAAGAGCACCATGTTACGTATTTGTCTTCACGGCTACAGGCAGAGGAATTACATTTGCGCGTTGCCACGTGTCACTAGGCTGAAGCGGTACCATCTCGTTCAGTTTTAGCGCCGCTCTGCCTTTACAATGCTGTCCGCGCTTCTGCCACGTGTCGCCGGGCCAATCAACGAAACACCATTTTTCTCCGTCCAGCCGCGCCGGCGGCTACATCGGCGTCAGCTGCATCTCCGCATGCCACGTGTCACCCGCCGAGAGCACTACCTTTTCCAGTTTCGCGTTCTCCACGCACACGAAGTCCTTGTAGAAATCCTTCATTGTCAGATGAGGGTTCCAGACGACGGCGTCCTTCCACCCCTGGAGGGCCTGGACCCCGACGGCGCGGCCAAGGCCGGTCTCGAGAACCAGGTCGGCGGGAGCGTCCAGGTACATGCGATCGACGAACCCCGGAAAGTTCACAGCCTCGTGCTCCTCCACCCCCGGTCTCGGATTGACGGGATCGGGATCCTTATCCAGAAAACGGCAACCGTTCAGTCCCTTGACAGAGGCCTCTGCCGCCGCCGCGCTGAAGTAGGTGTGCAAGGCGGCGGTGAAATCGCACGCCTTCTCCCCGGTGTTGACGACCGTTAGACTAGTGACCAGTTGATTGGCTTTGAGAGAGACCTTGTAACTGAGGCGGAAGGACGCGTCCCACATGGAACGGGTGTAGTCGTTATCTTCAAGGATCAGCTCGACAGAAGCCACCGGTCCGCCGTCGTCCGGATGGACATCGGCTGACGTGGCGCTGATCTGCCACGTCAGATTCCGGGCGAACCCGTGCTGCTGCATCTTGCCCGGGCCGAATTGCGGGAAACAGTGCGGGATTCCGCCGCTGATGGGCTTTTCCCCCGTAAACACCGCATCCGGGCGGACATAGAGAACATCCTCCCCGCTGGGAAGGCGCCAAGATGTCACGCAGGCTCCCAGGAGGTACACGTCAGCCGAGCTGCCTGATGAGGGATGCGTGAGCACCACCTTCGGCTGCCCCCCCTTTCCCTCCTCCACTCTCACGGAATCGCCGACAGCGAAATCCTCGTTAAGCGCACCCGCCGCAGACCCCGACGCCGCCACGTCAGCGCCCGCGCGCGGGGTTGCTGACGTGGCACCTGTCATCGCTGGCTTCCTCGGTCTCGCGCGGGACGGCGTGTAGAGCACGTGTCCGCTGACGTGGCGGAAGCACACGCAAGCGCCTCCTGCCACCAGCGCAGCCGGGATCGCGGCCGGGATCTTACCGACCTCGCCTCCCACCGGAAAACAACGGCTCGCCGGAAGGGGACGCAGATGTCCACGAGGAGCCCCCACGTCTCGCCTGCCTGGAGCGGCGGAGATGGCCACCTGAGCGTGGCGGTGGGACAGCGCAAGAGCGCGCCCGTGCATCGCTGTCGCTGCCATGGAGACTTAAGCCCAAGCCTGGCCCCTGTACCTCTGCCCAAGGGCCACCAAGTCCCCCCCGCCAAAGCCCCGTCTAGAGTGAAGCGTGAAGCCGATGGGCTTCCACTGATTGTCTGGCCTCACTGACTGCCATCGGCCGCGCCTTCCAGCTGATCTGCCGTCTGGGACCACCTACCATCGACTAATTAATTTAATTGTGATGGGTGGAGGTTCGAGATGACGAGGACTGGAAAGTGTACACAACCAGAGGCAGCATGACGGGAGCAAAATGGAATATGCTCACGTCCGCATCTGCTGTTTTCACTCCCACAAAACTGATCCGGGGGCTAGGTCCCACTTACACGGATTAAGCGATATTGACCGTAGATAGCAAAGATCAACGGCCAGAATCTCGTCATCCGTGCAAGTTGGACCTTGCCCCGGGTTGGTTGGTGTTCACCCGTACTGTACATAGACTAGTGAGAGGATGAGATAGATGCGTAAAGATGAAGAAAGAAGAAAGATGAAATAGATGAGCCTTCTGAGCACTGATAAAACTACTATTTCTGGGGGGGGGGGGGGGGGGGGGGAAAAAAAAAAAAAAAAAAAAAAAAATAAAATATCAATGTCTAATATTACCTTTACAAAAATATGTGTGGGGGGGGGGGGGGGGGGGGGGGGGGGCGGACAGAAAAAAAGAAAAGAAAAAAAAAAGGCCGAGTCCAATTGGCTGTCGAATCTGGACAAGGACGGCGTTTCAACCTCGTAGCAGCCAGCCCGAGTTCAAGCCTCAAAGCAGGCAGCTCGTTCGAGTCTCCAACGAAGGAATATGGGGGGCTGCGCCCGACCAGGAGGTGGGTGATATTGGCCAGGGGTGAGAGGGTAAGCATCAGGACTGGACTTCTTTCATGGGTCAGTCGATGTGCTTCCCTTCAGGTCCTTTGGACCCCTTTGGAACATCAGCAGTCTCTGCTCAATGCCGTCAAGGGGACCAAAGGCCTATCTCCAGGTGGCAGCCGCGCAGCGCCCAGGAAGGTACACGAGGCCAATGGGGGGATTGAACCCCAAACCTCCCGAATGCCCGAATGCCACTTGTGAGCCTTACCAACTGAGGCAGGCCGCTGGATGTCCCTTGTTGAAGGCATGAGATACCATCTTCGAAAGGATTTCTTTTTTTCTTTTGTTTTTTGAAAAAGAAGGCCCTGGGGGATCTTCATATTGCTTCAAATAGTTCTGAGGCCGGGAATCCTCAACAAACAACCCGCAGAAAGATGGAAATTGAGGCATTAAAACCCCCGATAACAGGCAAGTACAGGCGCTGGGATCAAGGTCTAGGGACAGAAGTGGCCAGATCCAGATCGCTGACCTGACATTCAACAACCCTGGAAGAAAACAACAAACAAAAAAAAACAAATGCCTTCATGGCCACAATCCAAAAGATATCATGCCCAGCTAAACGGCCCCAACAGCCGAAAGCCAAACAAGCCTTTCGAATGAAGGCGTTTTTTTAAAGATGTCAGACTTCTTTCGAAAGGCTGCTCGTGAAAAGAAACCCCCCTTCACCACACAGACTTTTGAAACACCGAGGCCTTTCTATATCCACATTAGGGTCTGGCTCCACTGCTCCCTACGGGTGTAAAACCAGAGTGTGAATCTTTGCCTAGAACATGGAAAGATACACCGCCATAATTTTTGTCTTTTGTGCATGTCGAGAGTAGTGGAGCCAGGCCCTTGCAATCGCCCCTTTTTTTTCCCTTTCTTTTTTTGCCAACCGACTGTTTCTAAGGTTTTTCGAGGAAACGCTTGTGACAGGCGGAAGGATCTCATCTCTTCGAAATGACTTTCGACGCTGGCCAATCTGACATCTTTTAAAACTTTTTCGAAAGAACTTGTTTCGGAAGGCTGTGTGGCGAAGACACAGCGTCAATTTTGCCCGTTTCGAAAGCCTGTACCTTTCCCAGCTATTTTTTTAGAGGCGCATCGGGTAACGCGCTGGCCTGAAATGGAAGGGCGGCAGCCGATAAATCGAATCGGCAGTCAGTCTTGACTCTCGAGCCAGCGCACAATGCCCGTGGCGGACACCAGTACCTTTCTCAGCTATCGGTGTCGATCTTCCCGCCAAAAAAAAAAACAAAGCGGTGCAGGCCTCTTTTTGGCTGGAGCCACCAGCCGTTTCCCACTCGTAGTGTCGAACCCACTCGGCTTCCGTGTTAATCGGCAGACATTTGTTTTTCAAGCGGGGAAAGGTACTGGTGGTTTAAGAGACAACCTTATCGAAAACCAATTACTAAAAAAAAACTTGAATTTATGTCTCTTGGGCCTGAAGAAACCACACTACTCTGTTACTTCTTCTACCTATTGTCAAACTTCCTATCCTATCTGCTTAACTACGCTCACCTAGAGCAGTGAAACTTGAAGAATCTCTCAAAACAAGATTACCTTGTTTCATGCAGACGTTCCCTCAATCCAACAATCTGTTGTCTGTCTACTGCATCCGAACCAGCAACTGAGCAACTCAGGTTGGTGCTACAATCACCCACTAAGTTATCAACTACGAATTGTGCCAATATTCTGCGTAAACACCAAATTTCTTTGAAGCATCTCAACACATTGTGTCTATTTTTTACATTCTGGACTTTCCTTCTCCAGTTTGTTGAGATGGTCTGTCTAAGACCTTGTTGAACTATAGCTCGGATCTGCTTGTTTTGATCATTCGTTGTCTTCAAAAACTCTATCATTTCGTCATTTCCATATGAATGAACCGTGACAGACCACTGCCCTTGCCACTTGAACCACATATCCCCATCCCTTCTTGGGCGATAGGTTGTCAGGAATCCCTCCCATAAGGCTTCAGACTTTGTCCCAATAGAAGATATTGCCAGACAGCCGATCCCATTTCTTTGCCCACGAAGTCCAAATACGGTCTTCTTTCATGCCATGTTCCACGAGCCAAACTGTCGATGCCTTGCTGCCTGTACCACTGTGCCCTGGGCTGGTCCGCCAGGCGCAACCCCATTGTTCTTCAGGTCTCAATGGACATGCTCGCACATAAACCATCTCAGCAAATCGCGTCGGCGGATGGTGCACCGGCGGAGGGCCGCCGTCACTCAGGTTCCTTCCGCCTCGTGGTTCTGAGCACCTTCAACTATCCTGTATTGCCCATTGACGTTCATTGATTTTGGTGTCACGCCCAATTTTGAACAAAACAACGAATATCAATTATAATAATAATAATAATAATAAAATATGAATGCGAGGGAACACATGACAGTCAGGGGGCTAGGGGACGCGCGTCCTGCTGGCCTGTGACGCCGCACACCTCCAGGTCGCGCAAGGTTGCGTTCGCAGTTGATACCCCCCACGCACGCCGCGCACCTCTGCAAGGACCTGAGCTTCCTGCAGTACGCGCCTCGTCAAGCGGACATAGCCGCAATGGCGTAACGTGCAGAAAACACGCCAAATACCCTTGTACGACAACACACTCATTTTAATTCTCTTTTTATTTTTTTTATTTTTATCAGAGTGTTGGTTTTCTGTATTTGATTTTTAATTCAAATTTGGTAAAGAATTTTGATGTAGTGCCCGGACAAATGTTGTTTAGTTTATTTATCTCCATAACATATGTTTTGTTTCGGAATTTTGTGATTTTTTTTTTTTTTTTTTTTTTTTTTCCGTGTTCGGCCCGATCGGCCGAATGCCGTACGAAAGGGTCCCGTACGTTCGGGCATTCGGCCCGTCCTGAACGCCGGCAACCCTGTATATATATATATATATATACATATTAAAATATTATTAATATTATATTACCTTTTTTGTTTTTGATTTCTTACTTGAGTTTGGTTAAAAATTCGGGGATGACTCCTTGACAAAAGTTGTTTGTTTCTACATAACATATAATTACTAAAAAAAAATATTTTTTATTTTTTTATTTTTTTGCCTTTTTTCTCTTAATTATTTTAATTGATTTGTTCTTTGTGTCTTTGATTTTTAACTCAATTTTGGTATAAAATTTAGAGATGAATATCAGACAAAGTTGCTTGAAATGTGATTATGCATAACATCCTTTGTTTTCATATTTTTTCGATGATTTTTTTTTTTTTTTTTTTTTTTACGTATTCCCACGTACGGGAGTAAGTATACGAGCGTACGTGTCACGTACAAGAATACGTGTATGCATGTACGTGCAACCGACATACACGTACGCCGTGCTACCCAAGTTCTTATTGGAATGTATTAGTTTAAAATGATATTTTTCCGGTTCATTATATTTGGTGGTTGTCACAAAATAGATGGGTAAGGATTTATGAGATTAAGCAAAAATTGGTAATATCAGACACTTGGAGAAGTAAAATTGTCTGCTTGAAGCCATATCAGTTGAATGGAAGAAGCTTATCAGATCAAACAATATAGTTGAAGGTATATGGCTGGGAGAAAGGGATGACTTATGAGAACAACAAAAAAATTCCCACGAGAAATAAAAGTTGAAAAAAACATTCCATAAAAAAAAAATCTTCATATTTATAAATTATCATTTCAATGTTCGTTCAATTCTAAAATTTTCAGTTTTATTTGATAAGTTCCGTCTAAATATAAGTTCATTTCCAACTACATCTATTTGTTCAAGATAGAATGAAAGCTAGAACGAGTTTATGAAATGTTTTAATTAAACTTTCATTCTACTACAACAAATATCTTCTAATTTAGATTTGATTAACCTATTTATGAATGAAAATCCTTACTTAGAATAACAGTCCAATTAAAATATTTCATGAACTCATCCTGATTTTCATTCCATCTCTAGCATCCAGTTGAAATAAGAAGGGATACCCCATTCTTGGAAGGAAAATTTTCAAGTAAGACGGAACATTTTAAAATTGGAATGACATTTTAAAGATGGAATGCAAATTTAAAATTTAGAATGTAATTTTACTATAGAATGATTATTTAATTCTAATTTTTTTTTGTGTTGAATACTTCAGAGTCATTGAAATTGGAGACGATAGTAAGTTTAAACGGGGGAGAAAAAATAGATAGGAAGGATACAGTCATTAAGGAAAAGGAGGCTATATCAATGATTGACATAG